ACCCAGGAGAAAACATTCTTGTAATCGTTACGTAGAGAAATAAATAGTCTCATTCAATTTTGTTTGCTTAATTATAGTTTGTATAATCCAGTTGCCACTCGTTACGTTGATGGTTCGTGGAGTTTACGTTTACGTCCTCTGCATATCTTACAAAATCCAAACGAAGCGATTCAACCAAGGATTACACGCATTAACATGTTAATTAATACCCATTATATCAGCGTGGGTGCATCCTCTGCTACCCGGGGAAGTTGGGAGACACGTAGAGCCGAAAGTCTAAAGACTAAAAACATCGTGTGGAACTTTGTTCCATGGATACTGCGCGGCTCGTCGAATTTTCGATGGGTTCACCGACTTCCGAGTAAATGGCTTTCGCGAAGTCTTCCGACGAGAACTACGACCGATCAAGTTTCCTCGTAAACTCCCTCGCGCCCAGGAGAACCTCTTTGTTGTTCTACGCCCGTAACAGGATATCGCTTTTTTCCTCGTTAGTAACTCCTGAAAATATTGTTTTCAAATTTCACTCGGAAATCGCATTTATCGAGCACAGACCTATCCAACGCGGTAGAAAAATCGTGTTCCAAATGAGTGCTTAAATTTTTACCAGTCACAATAATTTGGTAGAAAGTGAATTCCTCGAATAAAAATCACAATTTTTCAATATCTAAAAGCTCAGTTCAAATTGTTAACTTCGATTCAACTCTGAATTTTTTATTCCATGCATTGGACAAATTGTATTTCGAGCAAGTAAATTTCCACTTTAGTAGTTGCAATGGTTCGATAGAAAATCATAAATATCGCAATTTTCGATTTAACCGCTTCGAGCATCGGAAGCTCCACGAGGACGTAAAAAACGAAACAATTAAAAGCTCGGTTTAAAAACGTGGTAGTGTAATTGTCAAAGGGTCGATTCGTGTTTCGAGGCAATTGCGGCTCGATTCGGTGTTTTTTATTTCGCGCAAATCGGTGTCGCGACGGTGGACAATTGGTAAAAGCAACCGGACGGATGTTTTACGGTTCATTATGACGGGCATAAATCTCGTTGGCGTAAATGCCAGCTCGCAGCCGTCCCCGGAAGTGAACGTGACCGCTGGGATGCGGGGGCCGTGACTCGAAAGATGTCAAGCACTCTCCGGCGCAACGTCCACTCGTGACACCTGTCCCCACTCGACGCACTGAACCTGGTCAGCGCGATCCTCTCGAGTGGCTTCTTGACTGAACTTTAAATAATTTACCCGCGTGTAATTCCCAGAAGTGGCGGTGGAGCGAGAGGGTCGCTCGTATTGTCGCGGATCCGGCTTCGCGGGGACCGGATGTCTCTGTCCCCGCGGGATATCGTTCGCGACATTCGCTACGGCTCGGTCTTCCGTTGGCTGGTTAAAAAACCAGCTCGTAAAAACGAGCTTCCTGTTCGTTCCTTTCCGTCCTCTCCGGGGAGAATATGCCGCCGGTGAGGGTAATAACCTCACTCAGACACGGTGTTTTGTCCCCGGCCCTGTTATTAGGCGGATAGACAACCTTTGTGACACTCTCCACACGATAGACGGTGTTTCTTTATCGATCCTCGTGACTAGAGACAATATCTTCCCACCCTCTTCGCGAAAGAATTCATTCAAATACCAGTTTTCAACGATCAATATTCGTCGATAAGCTAACAAAAACATTTATCATTACATATACATACGTACGATCAGTGTTGTTTCTTTATCGATATTCAAGACTTAGGGGCATTCTAAGTCTTCGTTGATGGTATCACCAGACCTTCAGCCACTTTACAAAGTTCAGAGATGTATCATTTTTGTCATCTTCATTTTACTGATTTTTTAAATTTCAAGTACCCAACAAAATTCAAACACAATTTTTGAAAGATTAATATTATTAACGTATCCTCAGAATTGTTATCAATTACGTAAAAACGAAGGGTCATTTAACAGTCGACCGAATAATAATCAGTCTCAGTGAATACGGAGAAGATTATGGATTTTATTTCGTACGATTGGAAACTGTAAAGATGGCAACGACACGTTCTCCAGCCATAGAAATTCTTATCATCGATTCAGGACCAGCAGTACGGGCACAATCGAGCAGAATGTGTACCGTTTCAGGACGAGACACTTGAGAAAACGACGTCGTAGTACCCATCTGTAAGGGCAGAACTTTGTTTAAGAAATACATGACGCGAAACGAGGCTATCAGACGGAACTTTACTGTTCTACTAAATTGCACGACAATCTTGCGCAACTTCGCGAAAACAAAGACAACCGAGTATCTCTGTAGAATGTGCGACTATCGACGAAGCTACGGAACTGCATCGATTAAGTTACCGGTACTACGATTACGAACAATAATTACTACCACTGTCATTACCATTGGGTGCGTACAAAAGGGATTGCGCTATTGGACGCCAGTCGAGCAGAAGTTTGTTAAACTTCGTGACAGATTTAGCGATCGATTCATCCTTGGCTTGCGAGACACGTAGATAACCAATTGATACGTTTCGAAATTGCTCGTTCGTCGCAGAATTTTCTGAAAAACATCTTTCGTTTCAAACAGACAGTGTAAAAAATGTACCAATACCTATGGTAATTTCATTAATACTATAATTATTCTTATCAGAATAAAAAAAGGTCTCTTTTCAATATTCAACAACTACCTAATGAATTTAATTAGTAGAGTACGCAATAAAGCTCGTCCCCAAATATTTTAGGAGCCGTATATTATAAATTTCAGTTAATATCGATATATTTTCCAGTATTTCACTCTGCTGGATTCATTTTAACGTTAGAATTTGATATATTGCCAGCTATTGATCGAGTTAAATTTTTCAATAACTAGTTCCCATATAGATGACAAATTAAACTTAAATGGCACGTTTCGAATAATTAATTTTAACATTCGAATATAATTTACTAATACCAGATATCATGAATATTTCGGCGGAATTTAATTTCTGATAGATGAGAGTTTAAGTCGCGATCGGGGCTGGGGAGTCGAAACGTCGATAATAACCAGAATTATTAAATTACGTTTGTGCGTGAAAATTAATCGTATGGAACGACCCAATCCAGTCTGACTCGACACCTACGCTAAAAATCATTTCACTGATTTTCTAAGTTTGTTTGAGAATCTTTCCAAACAATGTTACCCAAAAGATTAATAGGAAACAATTTACAAAGCAGAATCCTTTTAATAACAGTTAACTCGGTTTTCCTTTCCCAGGAGATAACCATAATTTTTCTTACTTATTACAAACTTTTTCAAAGTACCTCTGGTTGTCCCCGATTTGTTTGAAAAATACGAGAGAATATTCCCCACGATCTCGTCATCGGCCATCATCCTTTTTAACCGACCCACGAATAGCCTTCGGTGATATAGAGTTATTAAACGGTACATAAGTTCTCGCTTTGTTTCCAAGCGGATGAAATCGAGTCCTCGAATCCACGAGGGACGGCCATTTTCAGATCCGCGAATGTTATCGGGAATATTTTAAATCTCTGTATAGATAATCGAAATCCTTTCTATGGGATAGCACCCCATCAGCGACCCCGTGGACGTTATTCACCCTTTAATGGCCGCATCCGTGTCCGTTCCTCCTCCATTTCTTTCACGCATCGCGGCTGGAAAATGGCTTTCCGTCCTTGCAGGAATATAAGGGAATCCCTCGAGGAAATCCTCGGGCTTTTCGTTGCGTACCTACTCTCAGGAAGATCTTATCGTCCATCTTGATTCCGCTTTGACGTGTATACTTATTATTTGAAGGGCCCGCGGGACGAAAAAGGGACGCCAATTTTAACGAATTTTCAGCTTAACGTTCCTTTCCTCTGTTTTTATCACTGGCTACATCAGCCATTGATTCAATCAAAATACATTGTTAATAATACTGTTTAAAGGCAAATTTCAGAAATTTAAAACCTCGAATACGTACAATGTATTTTAAATAATTTTAAAGTGAAAATAACGCTTGTACAATTTACGTAATATGAATTTAAGGCAGATTGTAGATATACTAGGAGTTATTAAAAACTGTGTTTGTTTTTAAAACGACGCAGCGTTGGAAGCTACATTTAAAAAATGAAACCGTATTGTCGAGAGCTCTCGAACATTTTCGACGCGCATACTCTGTGAAGTGGTACGACGACACAAAATCGAACTAATAGTTCTCGAAATGTTCGAATTATTATTCATCGAAAGGCTTCAACTATAGAGCGATTCAATTTCGAAATAACGGAACTCGAAATTTTGGACGACGTAGTTTAATTACGACCCGGTAGTTTGAAATCATTATTTATGGAAGTTTCGAAAATCGATTGGGATTTCTGTATCGTTCCGGGCAAGATTGAATCAAAGTCGATCGAAAACTTCGTTGTTCAGCGGCTGGAAACTTCATCTCTGCGCCCATCGACAAGGTAGTTTGTTCCAATCCCGCATCATGGCCCGCGAACGGGGCTAGAAAAATGGCTATTGGCTTTTCTATTATCCCGATAAACATCTCGCGGTGATGGCTGGTCAATAACGAAATACTACCGCGAAGACGCAGAAACTTTGTAAAAACTTCCTGAAATATCTGAAAAATGCTAGTAACGTAGAAGAAAATTGTCAACTTTGCGTCATCGAGTAGAAGGAAAGGAAAAGGACAAATTCAAGGAGTAGAAACAGTTTGCGACTCTTTCATCCGTGTAGTTACAAGCTGGAATACAATTTACAGTGTAGTGACAGCCTCTCAGTCGCATATTCAACGTCTCTTCTCACATGTAAATTGGTGTATATTATTTCTAAATTTCTAAATAAAAAAGTACTCTATTTTCCAAAAGAATTCCAGAGCATTTCTACGCAATAATAATTACTTTCTTTTTATTTAAAAAAGGACACACTTTCGTTTAAACCTTTTCTGAAGAAGTTTCGAACGAGTCAGCGGTTATTTTCCTAATTAGATGCATGAAAGGCTGTCACGGGTGTAGAGTTTTATTCAACAAGGTGCATTTTGAATCCGTATTACTTACAATTCATGTTCACGTGAACGGAGGACGATAGCGGTATGGACCTATTGCTATTCGTCGCGTTGCAGGTGAGCGTCGAGCGGACGTCGTCTCGTCCTAAATTTTTCATAACGAGCTCGCTGCGGGTCACGCCGTTCCGCACGGTCAAGGTTTTGTTGCTGACGAGCTTGTCGTTACAGTGCCAGGAGACCGTCGGGACCGGCTTGCCTGCGAAAACGCATCGATTCCGTATTCCGATTCAACCGTTTCAAGGAAAAGAAAGCGCGCGGAACGAATCGAGCTCTCCCAGCGAGCTTTGCGTGCGCGACGGTGCTCGAGCACACATGGATTTTTAACGAAATCCAGGCTCGAGCCGCGCGACAGAGGACCTTTTCGGTCGCGTACTCATTAAATTCTCTGTTCCCGGGCGCACCCAGGCCGCGGAATATTAATTCTTCCGGTTCGATCGCGATCGATTCACGGTGGCCCGATTTTTTCCCTCCCCCCGTATTTGATGAAGGCTTCAGCTCCCAACGAACGAATGTCGCGCGATTGTACGGAACGTATAGGGGAGAGTTGCCTTAATTAGACGCCTACGTTCGACCAGTGTTGGAATTTCAAATTTAAACTGTACGACGACTCGACTCTCAGCAGCGGCGAAAGTAGAACGTTTTAAATTAAAACCGAAACGAGGAACAGTTATAGAATGATAATTAATAGCAATATAACAGGTACGTATCGAATACACGGTCCAATAAGTTTTGCAGCCCGTTCGGTCTTCTTACACTTTTATTAAACATAATTAAAATATTCTCCGACGACCAGAAAGAATTCGATCGTTCGATCGATTAAACGTCAGGAATAAATTACCGGAGGTTCCCGCGGGCAACGATAACGTAAATAAAACGAAACTCTTCGGACTTTTATTTCTTGCGCTTCGAGGAATAAAAATTTTATAAATACCAAAGAGCTGAAATATCACTTGTTTTGCTATCAAGATACAGTCGGTTGTTATCTCGAATAGCTCGTGAAAATTGCAGTTGGCGGGTTCCCAAGAAAAACCGAACGCCGAAAGTTGCGTTTGATATCGTACCTGAATTTTTACGTCGCGTTTGTTCAGAAAATTTGACTCGCTTTTAATCGCGTTATTGGAGGTCAACGAGCTTATCTCTTTCTTCGCGATTCTTTAACAACGTTCAACTATCCACTCACGACCGCGAACGTTACGAAGTCGACCGAATTCGGCGACTCTCCCCCAAGTATTTCCGGAACCGAGGAAACCAGGAACGCCCGAGTTGGACAGTCCAACGCGCGTTTACAATGAAGGCTGCATTGCAGAGAATCGTACAATAGCGAGATGGGAATTAAATGCGAGCGACATAAATGAATTAAAATACACAAGGCGAGGCGTTCCGAAATAGGTCACCGGGGCAATTCCCTTATTTTCAAAGATAGAAAAGAACGCTCGAGGCAGAGATTCTGTCGTTTCCGCTGACACGACGGCCCCGTAAAGCTTGGTAAACGTTCGAAATAATTGCAAAGAAAATACAACGACCGTAGAGAGCCGTACGTTTCCGTGAAAAACGTAACCCTAACGCTTTGCTTCCACGGTAGTTTTAATAACCATGACTTTCCCCGAACACGCGTACCGTAATTTCGTGCAATTTGGTGAAAAACTAGGGACCGTCACAAATAGTTAAAACGACGGAAGCGTCGCACATAGCCAGCATTCTCTGCCAGGCTGCGGAACGCAGCGCGTAAACTCCATTGTAAACGAGCCTTCGACGATCCACGAAAGCTCTGTTCATTTTTGGAATTGCTCGGGACAGCGGGTGCTGCGGCCGTCCTCTGGAACGGACCACGGGGACGTAATATTACGTCGTACTCACCGCCGTACACGTCGCAGTAGAGCCGCAGAGTGTCGCCCTCCATATACGGGCCCACCATCGAATTCCGTGCGATCCCCGAGTCATCGACGATCACGATTTTATGTGGCGGAACTGAAACACGAAAGAAATTCCGCGTTTACTCGTCGACCAGCCTTAGAAAGCCTTCATTTTCTACGCAAGCTGCCTTTAACACTAAATAACCGCGATCGGTCAAACGACCGTTTCTAAAATTTCGTTTAAAATTTTACAATATTCGCTTCCATTCTTATTGTTTGTTTTCTGAGAAAAATAAAAGAATCTTCAGTTTCCGAGAACAGTTTAGTATAGTATAGTTTCTCTTCATTGATGTAACTGATTGTTTTTTCGAATTCCACACTACCAGTAATACACGAAGTGTTTGCATGCTTGTCTCATCTAAACCTGCGGTCCAATTTCGCTGACCTTTATGTACTCCGACTCTGCAAAGTGCCAGACGTGTCAATGGCGTTTTCGGTGGTGCCATCAAAGGACGAGGGTCTCGAACCGTGAGTGTCAAACGAAGAATCTCGATAGTTTGTTCTCCCATCGTTTTTCGACGAGCCATCGAGAACCTCCTGTTTGAGACACACGGTTCGAAATCCTGGTGGATCCTGACCTTTATGGACTCGTGGCACAGTTCATAAAAAGATTCTTATTCTTTTTGGAGTTTCACAGTTCAGGGAGGAAAAATCCTGTCAGAGTTTTCTCAATTACATTTAATGCAAATGTAGTTTAAATATCTCAACTTTTCACTTTTGTGAATTTCCGCTAAAGGGCTGAGAAAATAAATCTAGATAGGTCTGGAATTTTAACAAGGCTGTAAAAATAAGTTCTATGACAATTGAGAATTGAGTGGAGAATTTGAGGGGTTTGGTCAGACAATGAACGCGTTAAAAAATGGTCGTTCTAAAGTAGGAAAAGAGTTTCAGATTAACGTGTCTTCTTTTCTACGTTTCACCGAGAATTAAACTTATTATTTAGTTTGAGTGTTATTTAATTTATGAACGTGTAATCAGGACATATTTTTCTCCTGAAAATTTAATACATGCCTTTGTTGAATCCTAACAGTGGATTCGCTGCATAGCGGTTAAGAATCACTGCCCTACTCTGTGCAGGACTCGTTAACGATATTCAAAGGCACAACTGTAAACGCTCGTCGACATGGTCGTCTCTTAATCACTCAAAGATGCTTTCCAGTCAGCTCGAAGTCCTTTAAGCCTTAAGTAGGTGCACCGAGGTTTCGTAAACCTCCATTGAAATACATTATATGCTCTTGCTCGGCACACATTTACTACTTCTTAATTAAGGTTAAACTATTTACGGAACGACAAGGAAACTGCGGCACTTATTCGTAATTAGAAAAGGAACAGATCGTAAGTTTGGGGAACTTATGTTGTAAATGTGAGTATGGTTAACTCCCGTGTGAATATTATACTCATATTTAACACATTTCTGAGTACCATATTTGGGAATAGGTATGAGAAAACGTGAATTTTATTTTCTCTTAAAATATTATTTTATGAGTGCTCGGGTCTGAAATATATTTGCAATCAAAATTATTTCGTCAGTGTTGTTAATTTGAACTCGAAACCTTTGTAATCCTCGGATATAGATAGTCCAGGTAGCAAGCGACCCTAAATAACTCAGCCAATTCTGGTGAGAAAAAAAAAAGTAAATACCTGCAGGAATGTGCGTCTACGCGTAATAAACAAAGCGGTCGCGGATTGTTTTCCCGGAACGGCAGGTCTGTTGCCAGCGTCGCGAGTCGGAGGTCGGTCGGATCGCGTCGCGTCAGTCGTACCGAGCGTCTCGAGCGTCGTCGTGTCCCTGGCAAGACGGAAGCCGTCGGTAGTCGGCCCGAGGCCGATAACGCGAAATTGGTATTGGAAGATCGTGGCTCGGATACCGCGACGGCATTAAATTGGAATCTGAAATCGATACGGCGCATCGGCGCCGCGCGTCGTCCACCGTCGCTGCATAGAAAAGAGCTAAGGACGAAGAGGACCGAGGAGGGGAAGAAGGGACGGGGGGCTGGATCGACGGTGTCTGCGGGGACGTAATTGAAAAATTACCGTCGCGGGCACGACGTTATGCCTTCTCTCGTAGCCGGGACCGGGTCGTTGGCTTCCCGCGACGCGGAGGACCCCGGTGATCCTGACAAATGGCACGGCCAGAGCCACCATTTATCGGTATTAGCTTTTGTAGTATTTTCCGTATCGTTGCTACGTCGTGTAATGCATCGCGTATCTCCGGTCACGTGGCCGGGAACGGCGGATGTTCTTGGAGGAAATATGACGCAGCGGCGTCGATAACGGGTCCCCGAATCCTGCTGGCGAACGTAACGTATGCGCGACGCCGATAGCGACGACTGGGGACGACTTTTATCGGGACGGTTTTGCTACGACGACGCCGCGAGGATCCCGAACCGACCGCGATTCCATTAATTTTTTCCGATCGGTAACCGCGGTTTTGGTATTTATTCGCGGGCGGAGTCGCTGTTCGGGCACGGTAGTCGGTCGTTGCGAACAAAAGGATTTGCAGCGTCGGTGGAGCGGTAAAATTTCCAAACTGTGAACTTTGTTTTCGCGGAGGAGGCGGAAAATAGCGTGAAATTGTGTTATCGGTTTTCAACTTCGACTTACAATCTTCCGACGTTACCTGTTTTCTGATTGTAATAACGAAATTACAATTTACATGCAAAGTAAACGTATGTTCGTACGTTTATTGCTTCTTTTTCCGTTGCACTGTGTAATATTAAATTTTTTGAACTTTTTATCACCACTTCCAGAGCACGCTACAACTGCTGGATCCCGCGTCCAGGGCGGCGAAATGAAAAATCTGGACGCAGCACGAACATTTTCCACGATTATCAACTAACCGTGTTTCGCAGTGGGAAGTTGCTACGTATCCAGGTAAAACGAACCACGATTAGAACCTAATACGAGAAAATACAAATTAAAATTTTTTGCACGAAGTTAGACCTTCTTCCTAAACTTATTAAGTAGATTGAAATTTTCAAATTGTCCAACCGTTTCAAAATGAGATACTAGTAACGAATAGCACGCAACCTCATTTGGGTTGAAAAGTTTTGCTAGTGTTTTGGGAATAAAATTTCCTAACAAACACGAGACCATATTATTATACTTTCCTAGCGTGTTTCAAAGGCCTGAATTTGAAGAAATTGTAGACGAAAATAGATTTTCTCAATTTCTAGACCCAAAAGACTAGGAGACGGTTGGATAATGTTAGTTTGCTTCACAGCCATACGTCCCTTAATCGACGTAACGTTCACCCCCGCACACTGAAAAGGGGCTCTGATTTAAGGACGGTTTTCCCGAACAAGAGGGCTCTTTATGAAGCGTCCTCAGAGCTCTAGATCACGTGAGAAGGTGTTTCTTAATGAAGAAACCGTCCTTGGAAATCATGATTGGTTTTTCCATTTGCTTCTGCCTTTTCGTTCAGCCCTTCGAGATTGGCTTTGAGAGAGATCTCAGCCACGGATGCTATAGCTTTAGATTTAAGAATCGGCGCAGCCTTCGAACTACTGGAAACATTTAAACCTTTAAAAGAGAAATCACCCTAGCCTTTGAACCCCACGAATCTCAGAAACGGACTCTGAATGATTAATTCACTTCGAACTATCCTATAATCCACACTTTTACCATTCCTTTATTACTTTGCTTTATTATTTCATCGACGATCGTTGCATTATTTTTTACGGTTTATAAATGTAGGAATTCTATTATATCCTCTTAATTAATTATCAGAACGACTAATTTTTCCGTTTAAAGAGCAGCTGTAAAAGCTCTGCGAAGGTCCGACGAAACGAACGCTAGTTTTGTTTCGTTAACGACAGTTCCGAGGAGACTTTAATTTTCTAACGAGCAATCCTGCTACTTTGCGAGGTAACATTAGAGAAATCGATTCCATCTTGTACCTTACACTATTTGAACTGTATCAGCGGTGTTCCATCGACGATCGTCCGACCAGCGAACCAATATTTGGCTGTTTGAGTTTGGTCGAAGAGTATGTTAGATGGCATCGATATTCTCCATGTGAGTACGCGGCGCGAGGTTCTCACGATTTGCATAATTCGCGAGGATAATCTTGTCTCTCGTTGTCCAGGCCCAGCCGTGAAACCGATGCTTTTCTCCCACCCTGACAATCCAACAAATTATCGATCATCGCCTGTAGTTGAAACAATATTTACCAAACAGGAAGAAAATATTTTTTCGAAGGGAAAGGTTCAAAATACCGTGCTTTGTGTCGTATTTGAAAATCATCGAAATCGAACAAGGTGGCCATCGATCGACGCAGGAATATTTCTGGTCCGAGATTGTTTCTTTTTTTGGCGAGTCATTCGTTTGACAAAAAGACGTTAAAATTCAGCTCTCGGTTAATCCGCGAGCTTCTTAGGCCCGTGGCGTCGAACTGCGACGAATCGATATTCGCTCGCGGTCGAGAGTTTGTGCAGGGATTTTCAAAGAACCGCTCGTTGCGGGATTTTTGCCGATGCCGCATCGACGAACGGCCGCGATCCAATTCGTTCCTGGCCCGGGTGTTTGGATCAGAGCCGCGTCCCACATTCCCCGCGCCTTTGCCGTCTATTTTTCGTCGCTTTCTTGCGCGCTCGATGGTTTATTCGGTCCGAACGAAAACGCGCCCGTTAATTTCGCCGTAAAAAGATCTATCTCCGCGACAGATGCACTTCGTAACAACGCGTTGTCGTCGACCGTGTTTTACACCCATCGCGATATTGTGATTCGAGCCAGCCGCGACGCCCGCACGTTGCCCGTTCGTTCTTCCCCCGCGGCAACTCGGAATATTTTTCTTCCCTCGATGAAATCCAGTTAATTTTTGGCGCTGAATTTTTCGTCGAAAGTCCGTGGTCGAGGGGACCCGGGAATTTGATCAAATTCGCCGCGGCATTTCATTTGTCGAAACAATGGGCATTGTGTTTAAATTTTCGAGCTTCGAACGCGGCTTACCGGAACGGTTCGATTTTTTTCACGGCTCTTTGGCCCCTTTGTTCCGTCGCAGGAATAGTTAAAACGCGTTATCCGTTCGAACGTGCGCTCGAAGGAACGGCGAAA